CCTTCTTTGTCAAGCCTTTAACACTGAGGTATGACAAATTACACAAGAGCAATGGGTCTTATGAAGTGATGAATCTATGTTTGATTCAAATTGTCATCAGCATTGTTCGCATCAGTGGGTCAGGAGAGACGTACAACACATACTTGCACATACTTCCCATTTTCCTATTAAAATGTAAAGATATAATGGGTGACTCAAGACTTTTGCACAGTACTGTATATAGATTTTTTGTTGTCTATCAGCACGGACACTTAAATACTGTCAGCAAACAATTCAACAATAATAACTTTACAATCATTTATAACTTGGACAATTTTTGATGACTTCTAGAATTGCACAACAAAGTTATTTGTTAACATTTGTGTTTGTAACTGTTGTGTACGTATCAGTTGACTGTTACGTTAGATGCTGTTGAGACGTTAGATGCATGTGCTGCAGATTTTCTCAGTAAGAGTTGTTATAGAAAGTAAAGACAGCCATGTTGGCTCCTTTGTAGATTACAAAGTCGCTTCTACCTCGTTCCTGTCATTGCCCTGCATGTCCACACTCCTGCAGTGTAAAGCTTTTCTCCCATTAGTACAGCTGTTGGCTTAATTTCGTCTTTATAGTGTGCTCCCCCAGTTTATGCAACAGATTGCATCTAGGATCATGACATCACATTATACGAGCGTGAACTTTTGTTTGGATCGCACTGATTAAACTCTCTCCAAGCAATGAAAATAAGGCACTTCCTGTTCTTTTTTAACTTTCACTGATTTTTCTTCTTTTCTTCTTCTTTCCTCTCTTTTTCTGATGCTCGGCTTTGTGAACTCTTTTTTTTCCCCTATCAATATTTCTTGCTTTCGCTATACCATCGCCCACTCACGCCTGCCACCGCCGCAGTGGTGGGTCGTCTCTCATCTCAGGGGCTGCTAAAAATAGAGGCAGAACGAGAGAGGCAGAGAGAGAGAGAAAGTGTTTGCTGCTTCAATGGTGAGGAAATAGTGAGCTGAAATGTCTGTGGTTCCACTGCCTGTTTAGCAAACTGAAGTCATGCCTCCCTCTGTTTGAACAGTGAGTATCAGAGGCTTGATCTGCCTCATCACTGTGATTTTCCACCTGTAGAGAAGGGAGGTGCTTACACCTGTCCAAGGTTTTGTTGTTGCTCGGGGTGGTTTTTTTTTAAATATCCGACAGCCACTACGGCAGGAGACCAGATGTTATTCGGACAGTGTAATGTCCAAATGTCATCCTTTGATGCTATCAGTTCTGTAAATATGTGTTGTATAGGCTGTTTATAAATTCTATCAGAACATTCTAGGAATTCACAGACACTGAGAATGGAGAGGGAGAAAAAATGAGAATTAAGAACTAACAAAAGGGTATATTTCTAATAAAAAGGCTAAACAGGGGGCCATAAATGGGGTGGTTGCTATCTTATAGAGCAGGGGTGGGCAATCTCAGTCCACGAGGGCC